TCTTCTAGCTTTGTTTTTCACTACCTCTTCTCAGAAAAACCTGCACTGATTTCAGTGGGAAGGTGTCTTAGATGAGAAGTAAGAAACACCACCAACTAGCCAGGCAACCTCAATTTACACACCTACAGTACAGCTGAAATGCAGTTGTTTCTGGATTCTTAACAAAAAACCCTCTGGTCTGCATTTGCCTCACTTAAAGATTGCTTTTGTATGTTGGCCTAAGTATACACTGGAGAGGAAAGGCTAAAACTTACAGTTCTTCAGCTGTGTTAATAGGAATATCAGCCCAAAATGTATATAAATCACAGCCCAAAATCTGTCCATACTTTCCCCCGGAGCGTGGCGATCGGCCCGCACACAGTCACTGCTGAACAGCACAACTTGGTAGGACTGGCTGGCCACAGCACCTACCTCGGACAGAAAGTATCAGTAACTCCTTTGTGTCTCTACAGTGCAAACAGGATTTCGGCTTTGCTGGTCTCACCAAATTTGGACAAATAAAACACCAAGTTCCATAAAAATACAGCAATAATTACAGAGGGAGCAAAGTTGTGTAAAAAGCTCATTTACTGGTTTGCTTGACAAAGTATATTATGATTCAGGTTGCAAAAAACTGAAGCAAACGAACAAAAACACAAACGCTTTAAACTCCTCCGATGAAACTTAAATCTCCTCCCTTCAAAACCTCTCATTTTGGAATGTTTTAGGGATTTTTCTTCCCTCCCCCCACCTTTAAAAAGAAATGCTTAACAATTGTCAATAAAAATCTTTAGTTTACAAAGAGAAATTAAAACATGGCATAGGAAAGTATCAAAACAAAACATTACCTCTCTTTTGGAAAGACAGACCTTTTTCCTTGCAATGATTTAGTCAATTTGATTTCAATTCAGTGTTTCTGTTGACATAACTTATCGTTTTCAGACAAAAAAGTTTTGCGGTGGTGTTTGTCTAAATAATGTAGTACTAAAGACAGCAGAAACAGGGAAAAATATCATCTCCCTTAACTAAAATGTGACGCAGTATCAGAAATGCTGCTGCCACAAGGCTACTTTGCTACACACCTTCAATTATTAGCTGCTGTCTGGCTCCCCCCATCCTTTTATTAGGCACCAGAGTTCTGGTGCAGGAAACTTTTATGGGCAGCGTACACAAAGCGTGTCTAATTTCTAACTCGCACTTCATCCTCTCTTCCTCCAGCACAACGCTTCATTTTCTCACAGCCCTAACTTCCCCCATTTGCTCACCTAAATGCAGAAAAACCCAGCACAGGGATCGCTGCCTGACAGCTTTTCAAACTCCGTGTGCAGAAGGTGCCCAAATGAAATAAATAAAGAAACAGAGGGAAGTTTATGAAAGTGAAAGGAACGGCACGGAGGGAGCGGCAGGAGCGGCAGCAGGCAGCTCTGTGCTCCTCAGACTGACACAGGTGTATCCCAACTTCACCCACTCAGGCAGCAGAGACAGGGAGCCACGTACGGGTACATATGGACACACCGAAAAGTGCCAGAAGGGCACAGGAAGAAGCAAAAGAGAGAAATAAAGCCGAAAGGTGTTATTTATTTTTACAACTTGACAATGAACTTCAATTTTAGCAGAGGATTAAAAACAGCCCTGGGAAATGATTACGGTTTTTTTTTTTTCCCCTTTTCTATAAAGCTTCAGCACAAAAAGAGAGATTATAAAGGGGATACGCTCACACAGGCACACATAAAATAGGGGGGAACTAAGGAGAAGGAAATGAAAGGAAAAGAAAACAAACAGCCTCCTAACAGGCCCATACTGCTAACGGGAGTCCAAATAAAGAGTCATATGATATCTGATAGTGCAGGACACGTCGCCAGGAGCTGGAGCGGATTGCCTGCAGGAAGAAAGAGCCAGTGTGTTACTGCTCAAAGAGCTTTTCTTTCCCCATTTTCTAAATTTTTTTTTCCCCCTCTCTCTTTTTTCTCCTGTACTGTGAATGTGTTACTCTCAGGTCAGTTCCACGGAGTCCCCAAAAGACAGCTATCATCCTTCTCCCTACTTCTGGATGCAGTGACAGCCACTGGAAGGTACCTTCTAGTTGAGATTGGGGGGGCTAAATCTAGGTTTCAGCTCTGTTCTGACCTCTCTCGTATATCACCATCTCCAGGATTGAACATACAAAATTGTCACAAAAACCATGTTAGATTAAAAAAAAAATAAAGAGAGGATGGAGAGGTCAGGTGGGGGAAGAAGAAAAAATATTCAGGCAGAAAAAACCCGAGACTGCTTATCCTATGGAAAACTTCAAAGGCCAAGCCCCATTTCTGTTCTCTTTTGCTTACTTTTCCTGTGATTTTTTTTTTTTTTTTCAGAGAGAGCAAGAGGGGAAAGTCACAGAAAATATTCAGACCATGAAAAACATAAGGAGTTAGGAAAACTCTCTGGAGGAATGAGGAAAGCAAAGATTTTGAGTAAAAGAAAGGCATTTGTAATTTGCCAAAAGTTTTTTTATTTGTTATGGTAGTCCATCGCTCTTGGCCAAGCATTGCACAGTAAACTGGGGAGCCCGCTAAGCACTTTTAGCTTGGCACTGCTACTGCTGTTGCCCATGAAAAGGTAGAACACCTGGGTTACCTGCAGCAAAGGAACCTGTACTTGGAGCAGGGGACTTCAGCCCCTGATGAGTCCCCAACTTCTGCTGGGAGAGCTCTGCCCACTGCAGCTTTGGAGAGGGAAGAGTCCCAGCTAATGAAGCTGTGGGAGTGCAAGCCCACAGTCTAGATACTGGTATGAAAATAAAACTGGTATTTTAACCATTAAAACTGGTGTTTTAACTGTCCACTTGTCATGGACAGTTTCCCTGCTCCCCAGTTTCTGCACGGGACAGGCTGTATCCTTCAGGATGTTTTGCCACTGCAGGGTACTGGGATTTCTAAAGCAGTGCAAGCAGAGCCCAAGGATGGATTTTTTTCCTCCCCCTCATCATATGAGGAGATGCAAATGGACTAATTCCCCGTATACACTTACACAATGCATAGGTGTTGCTTAAAAGCAGTGTTACAAAACATATACGATACCTACGAAGTGTAACAGGCAACCTCTTCTGAGGAAAGCCTGCAGCATGAACATAAAAATCATGGTATTGTAGTAGTAGTGCAGCCAGAAAGAGCATCGTAACTCTAATAATTTTATCTAGTTTTGTGTTTTGTCTGCTGATGATTTTTAGGGGGGATATAACATGCAGTTTCCTCTCCTGTTTTCTGTACCTCTGCTATATGATGCTGTTCGTAGATTGGCAATTTGTCAAAGGCAGGAAAATACAAATCAATATAGGAAGGAAGGCAGAATTTGGCTAAAGAAAGCACTTCCTTAAGCTACTGAATTTGCAACAGTATATATTCTCAAATATCCTAACCACTGCACAGGAGATGCTGTGGGGAAGATAGCCTGTGTGCTATACACTGTATGCAACAAAATTCAAATCAAACATCTCCTTAAACGTGATGCACTATTCCCTTCTAAATTACATGTGCCTATTTCACATACAAATAGACAAAAGAGTGTATCCATAAGAAACACATTCAGAAGAAGAAAAAATCTACAGTGCAAGAAAGTCTACCCTGAAACCCTCAATCTGGGGCTTGACTGAAGAACTAAACTCAGAAGGTGAAATGGAGCCATTTAAAAGAAGGTCCCACCGAACAGGAGGAACAAGCAAACAAACAAATAAACAACAACAACAAAAAAATCCCTGAGCTCCTACTAATCATTTGAGTGCCAATGAGAGGTGACTTTTAGACAGATGGTCAGGGGAACGCTGTGTCCGTGGACACAGACGTTAGTGCCCCATCTGTATTTTAGGATTCTAGCTTCAACAAGCCATTACCAACTTTTTTTCTAAGTGACAGAAAGTGAAAGATTTCTGTTCCCACTAATTTGTTTATTTTTTACTGAAACCACCCCATTTCCTTCTTTTTTTCTCTCCTGGTAAAAATTTGTTGGTTGATTTTTTAAGTAAACAGAAACTGTTTGCAGTATAACTTTTATGCCAAAAAAAAAAAAAAAAAAAAGAAAAAAAAAAGAAAAAAAAAAAGATGCTAGGTAAGTTGGCAAAACAGCAATTGGAATTTAAAGAAGAGAGAGTTTAAAAAAGGGAGAAAAGAACAACATACCAAACTCACTTCTTCTTGTCCCCCTTCCATTCCTTTTCTTATTATTTCCAAATTATAATTTGGAGGTAAGGGAACTGCATTTCCTTTCAATCTATTTTGTTGCTGCCACACATTCTGTGCTTTGCTTCTCTCTCATTCTTTTTAGGAGGGGGAAAAAAAAATCCCTAATAAAAATAGAAAAACATATCTCAGGCGTTAAGCTCGCTCTCCCCCTTCCTTTGTAAAGAACTCTTTGTTCTCTAGTGAAAATGCTGAAAAAAATCCCCGGGCTCCCTGAAACAAGTGCAAAACACTTAGAGGCTTTTGGGCTGGCGAGGAGCCAGAAACCCTCCCGCTGTCTGGTTAGGAAGAGAGGAAAGAGAGAGAGAAGAGAGAGAGGGAAAAAATTGGAGCTTCCTTTAATAGACATAGGAAGCAGGTCCTTTTTTTTTTTTTTTTTTTTTCTTTCCCTTTTTTTCCCTTTTTTTCAAAACTGGCGGTCAAGCGTTAAGTAACTCCCTGTCTAAATCCACCTGCTGGAAATGAACTTGGGTAACCCCCCCCAGGGGTGCACAAAGAGGAGACACAGTAACACACTCCCGGCTCTTCTCCCACCCGTCCCTCCCCGCTGCCCTGCTTCCATTCTCCCTGCTCCCAGCACACAAATGCCCACAGCTCGCACTCCCCCTGCCACCACCAACCCACGTACCAAAATAAACGCTCGCTCCATCTACTTAAAGAGCAGAGACGGCTGAGGGGGTGGGGGGAAAGAAGGGAAAAAAAAAAAAAAACCCAAACAAAAAAAAAAAAAAAAGGGGGGGGGGGGTAAAGCGCTTTTTTCCATCTCGGTTGCGACAGTGATAAGGGGTAGGGAACATCTCATACCTGGTGTGAATGCTAATCAGCCAGGAGTTCTCCTTTTTTCCCAAGACAGGGAACTGTTTCCTTCCAAATTTATTAGAACCTCCTCCACTGCCTCTTTGAAAAACCTTCTTTGTCACCCTCTTCCCAAGTCCTGATACTTCTTTAAAAAAAAAAATGGCTTCGGAGCTCCTTCTATTCTTGATATTGATTCTCTCTCTCTCTCTCTCTCTCTCTCTCTCTCTCTCTTTCTCCCTCTCTCTTTCTCTCCCCCCCCCACCCCTCCTTTCTCCTGTCTCTGTCTCTTCTGAGTGGTCTATTGATAAGTCCCTAGAGGCACTGGGTCAGCCTGCCCGTAGGAAACCAGACACAATGCACAAATCTCCGAGTGCCATTCTGCCATCAGCAAGCAGACCACGTTTAGGAGAGAGGAAAAAAAAAAACACACACACACACACACACACACACAGTAGAGCAAAAGACAGAGAGAGAGAGAGAGAGAGAGAGGGAGAGAGAGGGAGAGTGTGAGAAAAAGACTGATTGGAACAGGAGGGAGGGAGGGAGGGAGCGAGAGAGCGAGGGAGAGAGAGCGACACTGCCAGTCAGGTTAATCATCCCTACTTTAATTAGCTGTTCGGCTTAGACATAAAACAATTGAATTTGAATGATCTGTCAGTGGGCTCGGCTGAACCAAAGGGGAAATGCGAATATTACAAAAAAGACTGTTGGTGTATTCAGATAAGCTCGCAGGGAAAATCCTCAAAGGATAACTATTAAAACTTACCACAAAACAAAAAGTAAGATTCAAATGGCATTATACAGAGGCAATCTCCAAAAAGCTGGGAGATCCCTTCCCTCTCTTTTTTACACATCACTGCAGCCTTTGCTGAAATAAACACCTGCACCTTCCCACAGTCTTCAAAGACTACCTGTCCTGCGGGGCTGGGAAGGGAGTGCAGGATTGCCTGCTACCTTGGCTCGCTTAAAGCAAGACCCTGCTGCCCTTCAGACAAATTTTCCTGATGGATCACCAGAATGTTATGATTCTGGAACTGCACAATCTCTGGGAGCACATCCTTGCCATGCATGTCTGCACAAACACAGACAAATTGAGCACCGACAGGGTACAGACGGAGATGTCATGACAAGGCAGTGCTGAGTATTGGGGTAAGACAAGTCTCAGGCACCAAGGAGGTGGAGAAATTACCCCCTCAAATAGGTGGCAAAGTAATCTATTTCTTCTACCCTGGGCTGCAAAATGAAGTACAGTTCAAATGGATGGTTGCTGGCGATACCCAGTGCAGTGGCAGCACTGTATAGCAGGCAAGGCAGAGATTTATTACACTTGTGCAAAGTCTGCTTCTTAAAAGGTGTGGGCCAGTTGGCCTTTCCCTCTGAGAAGGAAGGCAGCAGATAACACCCTGCTCTAAGAGGGAGCTGTCAGCACGTTCAGCCCCTGGACATCACACCCCTGCCCTGCCAGAACTTTCCCTTGTCAGATGCAAGGGACCCGCTTTGGGTTTCAGGACACTGAATGTCCCCTTATCAGGGACTCAGATGTCCCCTCCTGAGCAAACAGCAACAAGGGAGGTATTTGAATTTATTGCACAAGGCAGGTATATCCTCTCTGTTGCAAATACTTTTTCTGTATTTCGTACAGGGCTGCAGCCAAACCAGCAAATCCAAAATTCCTGATCAGCTCCGTGAACATCTGCTGTATATAAACTTTTAAATGGCCGTGACTAACCTGCCAGTGCCATTCAAAAGCATGGGAAGAAAGTAGAGAAGGGACTCACAATGCAGCTGACTGCTGGCCTTTCAGAGGGAGAGCTGGGATTCTCCCCTCACTCTGTATTTTAGGTACAAATGCATAAGGAAGGAAGAAACAAAACACAGAAGTTCTATCAACGTCTCTATGTTAATTTTATCATTTTTTGGACATAGGTCTCCAGGCAAATCTGGCACCAGCTTTTATGTGTTTTGCTTTTAATGGAGAGCTGATGGGAGATGTCACTATTATTCATTTCTTCTATCAACTTCTGCTATGGAAAAAGGTAGGTTCCTGCCCTTTTTCACCTTTTTAAATGTTACATGCTGGCTGGCTGTGTCCCATCTGCCTACCAGCCCCATTAGGGCCTGTTGACTCAGCACAGTTTTCAGAAGACCTAAATAGTTAATAGGAGAGGGATGCATTGCAGAAAGATTTGGGACATTTGGCTTAATGAGGTTATTTAGAAGTTCTCTCCTCAGCCTCCCCAAAATATGCATTTTTCAGGAATAATATGGAAGGTAAGATGTCCTGAAGAACAGAAAAGGAGATTTCAGAGAAATACAGCACCATCAAAAGCCTTAACTCCTTTTCAGATGAGATTTTGTAGAGAACAGTGACACAGACAAGTCTCTTTCATGGGTCAGTACCAAAGTAATAATCCAACAGAGTGCAAAACAGCTCTGGGCTTCATTTCTAATAAAATATGCAGAGGACCTGACCACCTTATGCAGGGATTGACTGAAGAAAGAGTGTGCAGTCATGTAATTACAAGCTATGGTAATGGTACACGGGGCCCTCCCTACGGCTGCACAGACAACATTAGCTGTGGCATTTCCTAACTTTTAAGTATTTGACTTAGTAACATTAGCATTACAGTAATGCATTTTCAGTATAATTTCTCAGCGTTTTCTTTAAAAGTCAACTTAGAAGCTGTTCCACGTTGCTGGTGAGGCTGAGGCGGGTGGGCACCTGTGGAGCTGTAATGCAGGACTCCGCCACTTCAGCCGGCAGCGCCAGCAGCAGCCTGACTAAAACGGCGCTGATGAGGGCATCAACCACTGGAAAACTGTGAGGACGCTTCATTCAGTGGCTTGACAGCGTCTTCCTGACAAAGAAATTGCTGAGAGACAGAAGCCCTAAGCTCACCTTCAAGGAGGAGAGCAAAGCACGCTGCCATGGGCAGAGACTCTGGATCCTGGCTCTCCAAACCTGCACATCTTCTGTTGCTGTTGGATTTGCTTCCATTCAGTTGACTCCACACACTGCTGCTCCTCTTGCTTTGTAGCTTACTTTCTCTCATGTTATTCCTCCCTCCCTAGACTACTCCTTGTCACAGTCTGTTCCTTATCCCATTGCCATAAAAGAGGCATTTCCTCAAATACCTCTTCCCCTCTGCTCTACCCCAGGCATGAATATACCCTGAACACAGAGGAAAGCAAACTGCTTAGCATGGTAAATTAGGCCACGTGGTGTTTCAGGCTGCCTTAACTAGACCACTCCTTGCAAGACTGTTTAAAACTAACTCGGGTATCATAATTTGCAATCCACAGTGTAGACATATCAAAATGTCCTTGTTCTCATTTCCACTGCTTGCTGCCATAGCAACCCCTGGTCAAAAGGAAATTTCCATTGATATCAGAAGGAGCAGCATTTCACCCAGGTGAGTTTTTACTATGTGGCACATATTTTATTAGCATGTGTTCCTGATACGGAGATCCTCAAATCTCCTATAGTGCCTAATGTAGAAAACACTACTGTTAAGTCCTGCTCTTAGCTGGTCCCCTTCTACTGGAAGCTACAGAAGTCAAGGACCTCCTGCTTTCTACCTGAATATCATCCAAGAGCTGACTTATAGTCTACATAAATGCAAAAGGCCAGGAGGAGCTCCAGAAAATGTACATCACCCTCCCCTCCTGAGATTTTTATCAGAGATTTTAACTCAGATACAGGATGATGATTTCTAGTTTTGCATGGTACCCTCTTGCTTGCTCTTCCTTCATATAAATTATTCCATGTATCAGGGAGATTTAGCCAAAGGATCGATAACTGAAACCTCAGTCTGTCTGATCAGTTGAAAAAAGTTTGCTGTTTGCTATGGAAAAGGCAATCAGTGCTGCAACAAGTTTTCAGACTCATTTGTATGATAACCTCTCCATATGTTGCTACAGAATTGGAAGACACCTTTATGAGAACTGTACCTGGATTTACCATCGGCAAAGGGCAGGATTTATGAACGGAAAAGTCAGTGGAACTGCTCCTCACTTTCTGGCTTCTACATGCACCACAACGCCAGGCAAAAGCAGGACACAGAAATGGCAGAGTACTTACTCCTTTAATGTATATAAAGTATTCTGCAATGCAACTTGTAGTGCTCAGTACAGCTGACAAGAGCTGACATTAATGGCAAATCAACAGATCTGGGTGGCACGGAGAGGAACTTGGTTCCTTTGCAAAAAAGGAGATCTGTCTATTTGCAAAAATGGAATTTAACTATGTAATCTCAGGATGAGTTGTATAAATATATTCCTCTAGATTTATTGGCTTGTCTTCATAAACAGCTGTGAGTCTGTGCTTTTTGTTCAGAGATGTAAACCAGCACAGCATGTTGGAGAGGGTGAATACACGGTTATTATTCAGTAGGTAAGAAATTAGAGAAAGAGACTGGAAAGTCCTTGTTAGAGAAATCAACTCCTTGCTTTATCTTTTGGTAAAGCATCCTTCCTAACTTGCACCACTGTGCTCAGTAAGTACCTCTGCATGCTAAAGGGAGAAAGGTACCATGACTTGCATCTGGGTGGTTTCTGTCAAATATGCCATTTGATTTTCTGGGGCAAAACAAACAAGTTTTTTCCTTACTGCACTGATTACCAGAATCAGCCCTCCCCTCACTCCCCCCCACCCTCCTCCTGCCCCAACCATATGGAATGTCAGGATGGGTTCCTAAAGCACCTTTTACCTACAATGTGCTGTTCTCTGTTCCCAAGGCAGTTTCTTTCAGAGATTTGTTGACAATAGGGAAATGTCAACAAATCAGGGAATCAGAGGGTCTCCAAATTTTTACTCTCTCAGGCAATCCAAATATACGGGCCTATTTTGTGGAAGAGCCTCCCTTAAAAAAAAAAAAAAAAAAAAAAAAAGAGAGAGAGAAAATACTGCAAACTTGTCTATGAGACACATTTGTTCTTTTCTTTTAGTGCACTACCACCACAGTAAGATGTGCTGAAAAGTGAGCTATACCCTCCTGGGCACCAGTGCAATCCCCTTGCCTTCACTGGAAAAGCAACAGTGCAGCCTAGGGGAACTCCATAAAACATCTGGTTGAGAAGACATGAGAAGAATCAGACTCCTGCTTTTCTCCCTCCTCAGCTCTATTGGGTCAGAAAGTAACATTTTGAAAGTCTGATTTTACAAAAAAATTAAGGAAATCTGATAACTGGTTAAAAAGCAGATCAATGAGGACATGATTTTTGCAGGTAACATGTTCTCTGAACATTTATATGGAAGTTTATCGTGAAAGCTCCCAAAGATTTTTAAACACTTGAAAACATTAGCTCTCTACCCTCTATCATGATCCCTACTATTGTCACCAATTGCATCTCTGCTCCAAAATGAACATTATTTAAACAGCATCTTGTGTTATATTCAGCCTATTCTGCTCTGTTCTATTATATTTTATTCTATGATTTTTGAAAGAAGCATAAGTATCTCAGGATGTCAGGAGGTTTAATTTTCTCTCATACCTTCATGGGTAGACAATTATAATTCTGATTTGAAGAACTTTAAAGCGGACATCTGCCCCACTTCTGTTCTAAATGCTGACGGGAAACATGCTACCTATCCCTCTTGCTAACTTTGGTGCTGTCACATAGTCACAAATCTTATTTCCTGCACTTGGAGATGACAGGTATTTTGCCTCTGCTTCCAGCCTTTCTTATCTAAAGATTCCTTGTTTCAGGAGGCTTTTCCATGGGCTCAACGGTGAGGAAAAATTGTAATTATTTTCATATTCCTCATTCTAGACAAAACCTTTGTAAGAACAACAATATTGCTTGCAGTCTGGGGAGCTGTACAGCCACAGCATGCCAAAAACAGGAGATTGCCACCAGAATAACCCCACTGAGGACTGTTTTCTATGTCCAGCCATTAGTTTTGTCCCAGGGACAGCTGCAGAAGGGTCTCTATCTGCACATACCACTTCATCTCTTAGACTTGGATATATATAGAGTGGAAAGCCAAAAACCCAGAGGAGGGTGTAGAGTTCTGACTCTTTTCTACAGCAGACATAATCATCCATCACATTCTTCAGCTGGGTGAAGCCATGAGGGAAGAGGACACAGACAGGGTTGATTTCCACCTCCACTCTCTCCACAGACAGAGCTGCAGCTTGCACAGTGACTGGAACACGACCGGCTCAGGAAATGAAGAGTAGCACATCACTCATTTTTCCTGTCTGTTTGCTCCTAATTATCTTGCAATACATCTCACTGGTAGTTTTATCATACAGAAAGACAGAAGGTCTTTCTTCTGGTTACAGCACATAATGACTACTTTTAAAATGGCTTGCTATTCATTCCTGGGAAAACCTCAGTCTCTTTCTCCCTCCCTCAAGCTCACTGCCTCTTCTTCTGGGGTTATTGTTTTGTTTTTGAGGATTTTGGGGGAAGTAGGATGTCAATTTTCTGATAATGTATCCTGATTAAAAGAAAAGAAGGGCCAGCAGAGGTGGCTTTCCCTTTCTTTTGATGAGACTGTGGCCACACTGAAAGAAGTGTCAACAATCTCAATAATCTAATTTTGGCTAATACAACACCTCTTACAGGCTTGAGCCATGCAGCTCCTGTGTAGCCCTTAGTAAAAATCAACAGAACCACTTTTATACTTGTCTTCCAATATTTCTCTCCAACCTCAGAGAAACAGAGAATTGCTAGAGGGCAATGAACTCTCATTTTTCCATTGACATTTCTGCAATCCATCTCCCTCAGTTGGGAGACCCTTTCGCAGATCCGGAACCTCACTAGCATAAGGAAGAATTAATATAATTAAGAATTAGACTCAGGGTCTCTAAAATGGGAATCATAACAATGACTAACACCACAAGAGTGTTTTCAGAATTAATTCATGTAAGTAAAGCACTTACAAGATAAAAATGTAGGAGCTGCCACATCAGATTAGACCACTGCTCCATCTAGTAGAACATCTCATGTGCAACAAACAGCAGCAATTAATGCACGATAGCAGAACTGGGGTTCCCTCTCTCTGCAGCAACAGGGTTCAGTCTAAGAATAGCCGATGGTAGTCCTTGGTAACAACATTATTTTATTACTTAGGTGAGATATTTAAGCCCCTACAACTCATTGTCACTAAACAAAGTTGTCTTGCAATGAAAGGAAGGAACCAGGCTCATCAAGAGTCAGGTACAGTGGCTGCACACCTGCACATTCATTCCTGTGCAAGATAGTTTCTGATCAAGCGTTCCTGCTTATCAGTGAGAGAACATAAAATTATTCTAAAAATCTCAAGTTTCAGAAAGAGTATTGAAAAAAGGGACAGTAGTATATAAGTACTTCTAAAATTGGTAGAGAGAAAGACACATACATACATGCATAGATGAACAAGCTGGTTAAAAAGATAATCTCATCCTCACTGGCTCTCCTTTGAGCAGGGTCAGGGTTGGACCTGGATGACCTAAGAAGGTTCTTTTTGATTTTTATTATTCCAGGATTCTGTGAATCCACAATTTTCCATGGCAGAGCTCTGTCACTAAATATGAAACACATTGTGGTAAACATAATTTTCAAGGAAAATATTATCAGAGAAGTTTCTTGGGTTGAGGATAGACACTGTAGTTCAAAATTAAGAGGCTCTCATGCTCCTTCACCCACTGGCGGGGTCCTGGTCCTAGTCTTTTAAAAGATAGTTTATTTATGAAAAACTTCCATAAAGTTTCACACTCCAAAATTGCAAATATTTGCACTATCTTCTGGCCAGCTCACCTATATACCTCTGCATTCTGCAAGTTCCTCCAGACCGTACATCACTGCCAACATCTGTTGTGTCAAGGGTAATGACAATGTTTCTGTGGTATTTCACTATCTTAGATGGTTTGACAACTTTATTTTAATTTTTACAGATTTTTCACTTTATGAAACAGCCTTATCGGAAAAGTAAATGGGTGGGCTCAGATGAGTTTGTCTTAATTTAAGAGTTAGATTTTAAAATTTAGTTTTACTTTTTTATGAATCATGCAGTGTTAACAGAAATAATCTATACAATGCAAAACCCTCCTGAAAGACAGAGCCACAATATGTTTCTGTGGATGATTCTATTCTATTCTATTCTATTCTATGCTATGCTATGCTATGCTATGCTATGCTATATTCTACTGCTGGACAGTGTAATGAAAAACCAAACAAATCAGAAGAAAATCCGCAAAAAAACAAAATCCCTCATAACTAACCGAACCATAAATGGGTCTTACATTACTGGGACTGGATAAAGTATCATCAGTGCCAGATTATTACATAAGAATATGTTAGTAATGTAGCAGCAGTCTAGTCTCTTAAGATGTGAAAGAGCGTTATCTAACCTCTCTGCAAAGTTCAGGAAGAGGAGCCATATGTCCAAATAATAATTTTCTTGCTGGTGTTTAACATGTCAGTTTTTTCAAGGGGCCTATTTCAAGTTAAAAAAAAAAAAAAGGCGTGAAATGCATTTTGATTTTTTTTTCCTTTGGCAAAAGCAGCTCATTTTCAAGCTTGCAAGGAAACAAGAAAAACAAAATCAAATGTCAAGTAGATTTGCTCTTTGTTGTAATTAATACGCAAGCATTTGCTCGTAGATGGTCCTGAGCCTGAAAACAAGTGTTGCCAGTTGTGGTGCTATTAAAAGTAGTTCTCAGGGCTTTAAAGGGCCAAATGTCCAAGGAGTGAAAATCCCAATGCCAACCAGTGGCCCTAGGCCAGTGTCCATCAGCTGAGGTGTGACCACAAAGGAAGAAGAGCACAAAGCCCGATGGCTGAGCACTGAGGATGCACCATGCGCTTGCAGCACCAGACCCTACGTGTGATTAGACAACAAAGAAAGGCAGGGCAGACTTCCTCAGAGCAGGAGGAGGGAAATGACTACCTGAAAATAAGGAAACTCCAAAGCCCCACGCTGCAGACTATATGCATGCTCAGTTTCTGGTTGAGGAAGCTACGTGAGATTTCTCTTTGAGTCAGAGCAATGTAGTGGATAAAAAGGCCCTGTCTAGCCAGGGGGATTTCCTGAGGCCATCACAGACCAGCTCCACACACTGTTAAGAGGCTCATTTTCATGAAAGTTCTTGCTGCATTTGTATTGCTGGCTCCAGGCCCCTAGAGCTTCAAGAGCCACATCACAGTGCTACAAGCCCAGTGCTGAATGCTTGGCACACGACCAGGCATCTTCCCTTCCCTCTCTCTGTTCCCTCAAGTCAGCAGGTGAGGCTCTAGGGCTCCATCTTGTTTTGATTTGTGTGTGAAATTTTTTTCCTCAAGAAGAAAAAATATGAAGATAAAATTTCCCATTGAGTATTTGCTATTCTCCTTTCCTCCATGTTGTTCTGCGGAGGTGTTTGGAGATAGAGAGAAAAAAAGCTGCATTTTTTTTCTTCCTCATCAAAGGGGCTTGATATTTTTCCTGAAATGGGATGCTGGAAACACTTCATCACTGAGAGCTACTGGCCTGAGGTCTGCTCCTCTTCACATCAGGACGAATCAGTAGCAATTCCAGTGAGGTCACCAGGAGTGCTCTGGCAGGCAGCTCCCCTTGCCGGATGCGGGGTCAGCCCTGCCGAGCCAAACCCTTCCACAGGATCAGCCAGGGCCCACGCCCTGTGCCAGGTCACAGCATGGGTGTAAAGGGATGCAGGGCAAAGAAAACATAAACCTCAACCAACTTTCCCTATAAAATAATCATAAAAGTGCTGGAACTCAAATGCTGGAGGGAGAAATTGGACAAAGCTGACACCAGCCAAATACCCTACCAGCAAAAGTGTATGATACTGGCCAGGATAAGAGATAACCAAAGCAACATCTATTATTTTGTTACTTACTTTCCCATATGCTGATATCCAGTGTGTAATTCTCTCCTATCATTTAGGTCACTGCTGG